CTTTATTTGTTGATGTAAGCAATACATGTTTTGAGTAAAAAATCCATTTAGTCAATCAATAAATATTGGCTCCTGCTCAAACTTATAAAAAAATAGCATTGGAAGTTTCCAACATTTAACATATCAACTAATGATAGTTCAATTATCAAATTTAGACTCATGCCCTCAATGGCCAATTGAGTTTCAATTATTATTTATGGTAATCATGATGATCTCACTGCTTAAATTATTTTTATTTATTTGATTCTTTAATATTGTCTAATTCACTAAAAAATTTATTGGTCTCTTGCTTGCGAACATAATGCGAATTTTATGAGACATTTGCTCATCATTAGATAATTTATCAACCAAACACAGATTACTAAGTCAATGGTTTTTATTTGTTGATGTAAGTAATGTACATGTTTTGAGTTAAACATCCAATTAGTCAATCAAGAAATATTGACTCCTGCCCAAACCTATAATAAAATTGCCTTAAAAGTTTTGAACATTTAACATATCAACTAATGATAGTTCAATTATCCAAATTTGACTCATGTCCTCAATGAATGTGTGAGTCTCGTTGCAGGATCTTGTGTCAAGATTTATGAACCAAGACACTCAGTTCTTCATCTTACAAATAGTGTGGATCAATCTATCATTCCAAACATTGTAAGAAAAAAAATCTATCATTCCAATGCTTGCCTTCATCTAACCCTCAAACAACAATGGTTGTTGATTGACTTAAAACAATAAGAGGGTTTTCTTACTGAAGATACTTGATCAGTGTGTAATCCTAGGTAGATCCTAATTCTCCAAACCTTAAATGCTAAGATCATATACATTAAAACCAATAATCGATAATTCTAATTTATCGAGATACAAATAGCCCAACATATTAGAGTTTTTCATTTAATAATTATTTAGGGAAACACCCCGATTATTGGTTTCGAGAAAAGAATGAAACAAAATATTTCTGGTAAGAAAAATGGTTATGGGAAAAATATTCAATAATATCATGATGATGCTGTGCATTCTTCTTTTAATATAAAAATAATCTAACAATGAGGCCCCAACCTGTTCTTGTCTGATGCTTGTTTGCTTGCTGGTTGCCTCTCTGCCCTTCCATTAAGCTTTTTATATATATATATATAAACCACACTCATACTCTCCATCCCCTTCCATTCATCACCTCACTCACCTCTCTCTCTCTCCTTTTCTCTTCAACGCATGTCTATTTTTGATCTGGAGTTGTTGTTCTTCATCTAACATCTCCTTTTTTCAGCAGTCGCTTTCTCTAAACTTTCAAAGCTCCTCTCCTTTTATTTATTAACTGCCTGCCTTTTCTTTCCTTTTTGTTTTTCACGGTCTCTTTCTTTAGGGTTGAGTGCTATAATAAGTTCATAATCACTTAGAGGTTTTCGTGAAAGCTGCTAGCTAGCCAATGAGAGTTCCATCCTCGATCAACGGGAACCCACGCCACGAGGGTTTCATTCTTACATTACATATGAGGAAGAAGCTTTTCATTATTTAGGGTTTGAGTGTGCGGGAGGGAACATGGAAAAACTTGCAAAGGGAGGGAGCTTTCTTCAGTCCACTAACGGGGAGCAGTGAGGTTCAATTAGCTGCCGACTCATTCATCCAAATACTGCGCTATCTACTTGCTACAGAAGGAAGAAGGATATAACGAAATGCTGCTTTTGGGAGAATGGGATTTGTTTGCAGCACGTACAGTAAATGAGTGAATGATGCGGGAGACAAATTGGATCTTAAGCTTCCTGTACTTGGACTGAAGGGAGCTCCCTTTCCTACCCCCATTTTCTTTCCCCTTCTCTTCCGTTCTATTCAGAGATTCTCTTCTATTCTAATATTATTTTGATTGATTCTCTTATATTTATATATATTCTCATCATCCTATCCTATCCTATCCTATCCTATCAATTAATGAAGTTGTTAACTAGGATGCTAGCTAGCTAGTGATGTATGTGTTAGCTCTTTTGGGGCTTTTTTGTTCCATATCTGTTTTGTATTTGTGGGTTGTAGATATATTAATTGTTGGCACCGGTGCTTCCGGCCACTTGGTGCTTTCTCATAATCTATACAGATCGATTCTATTCGGATGATGATGACTTGAGGCTATTATTAACTCATTCTTCACCAAAGAATGTTGTTGCTCTGCTCAGTCCTTGAACTCAAAAAAGAAGCCTCAGGTAATTTGAGTCTAGTGTTCTATATATATACCCTCTATAACCTTTCATCATAATTTGTACTGTAAAATAAGAGATATTAGCATTTGACATATATATATATGGTAGCGTCTTCAGTGCACTCACTTTTTTGGGTACATTCAGTGCACTCGCTTCATAATCGTCATTTTAAACATGAGATTTATGTCAAAATGATATCAATCATCATTTATGATGTGATGAACAATAACGCACATGAATTTGCACAAAAACCATACAAGATTTGCTTTAATTTGAAGGATTTTGAGTTTAAAGATCTAGGGTTAGGGTTAGGGTTAGGGTTTACAGTTTAGAGTTTAGGGATAGAACTCAAAATTGGAGGTCTAGGACTTAGGGTAATCCGCTAATTAATTGTTATCATATGTTATATCATCATATTATACTAATTCTACAAATTAAAATTCAAAATCCGACTCCTTAAGACTAGCTTTTGAGTTGGGTGCATTGAACGCACTCATTTTTGTGAGTGCACCGAAGTAGTCACCATATATATATATTCTTTGTCTAAATAGCAAAACTCAATGAGGCGTACGGTAGGCTAGCGTATGCCCGGACGTACGCTATATGGCAAAGGCTAGCGTACACCTGATGTATGGTGTACGCCTGTGTTCACACCTATTAATTAATTATTAATGATTTTTAATTAACTAAATTATTATTAATAAATATAATTACAATTATATACATTCATTAATTGTCGTTTACGTTTTAGTCACATATCAATTTTTATCTTATATTCTACTCAAATCAATCATTTAACTAACAATCATATAAATTATAGTACTGTTTTTTCCAAATTATAACTTTGAAACACCCAAACTTTACAATAATCTACCACTGCAATTTATTTTGAAATTACTAATTTATTTTCGTTTGTCCTATCTACTTCCAAGTTCCAGCCCCAATAAAAAAATGCTATCTACTTCCAGCCGGACAAACGCCGACAAGGAAGAATCGACGCCGGCCAGTGGTGACAAGTAAGAAGAACGCCGGTTGAGAAGATGGCAAACCGATCGTTGATTTTTGGGGAGCGATAGAAGAAGCTTCCGGCGGTGACTGCTCCGCTCAAGAGCAGCACGTTCTTAATTCTGGTCGTCGCCACCGTAGTCGACACTCCGCGTCGGATGCGATCGAAGGTCGTTGACTGGTAGCAAGAACCCAACGGTGCCGGGGACCAGACGACGAATTCGTCGAGCTCCGCTCTTCCCTCTTCCACTCGTTCTCTTTCCTAGTGCGATTCTTCCCCTGCATATCTCCGAATCGACATCCTCTCTCGACGAAGATTGAATTCGACGATGAAATTGTAGGAAGGAGAGTGTATGGCGATGCCTAGTCGTTCGATTTCTGGGTTTGGGAAAGAATAGTCGATTTCTGGGTTCTGGGAACAGGGGCGAAGAAAGTGCAGCAACGATGAGCGCCCTAAATTTTATGAACAAACTAAAAACTATAATATTAGTCATTGGAAGGAATAAAGCACGAAAGAGCAAATGGCGCATTGGTGTTGATTGTCGCTTACAATCCGGAGGTCCGGGTTCGAATACTGGTAACCCCAAGTATGTTTTTTACATGGCTAAAACAATAGTGTGATCTATTTGAGATTTAATTTTTGTTTTTGCTTTTAAATTTTCTTTATTTTCTTTTGTGCCCAATTATTGAATTGTGAACTGATTACTAGTGTGGGATTGAAATTTCTATTATAAAACTGAATTTAGTTTTATTAGTTTCATGTTTCTTTTTGTTAAATGTTAATATGGCGTCGACATTAATATTATACGTAATCTTTCAAGAAAGTATTACCCTTTAGTTTTTTCAGAAAGTAAATTTATAGATTGACAATTCAGTTGAATATCTTTTGTGTTGATGCTTTTAAACATCATGATTTAGTGAATCTATCATATTGTGCATCTATTTCACTAAAAGCATGGTTTCAGAGATTTAACTCAAAGCATCCAAAACGTTAGCTTACCAAATAGAGGACGCATAATCAACGTCGGGGATGACAGAAAGAAGAACCAACGGCGATGACTCCCAACTTCCGAGCTTTCTTCCACTGTATCATGGTTTGGAATGCTCTGGGAAGTTAACTGACTTTGATTCGTTGATTATATGATTCATCTTGTTCATACTCTTATAGTCGTTACGGCTGGTAGTGAATGAGTTTTTTCTGCCATAAAGTGAGTGACTAATCTACAAAAAAAAAAAAAGTCATGGCTCTATCGTTGGTAGTCTTGTTATTTATAATGAATGAGATATTAGTGAACACGTTTTGGTTAAACGCTATTTTGAGTGATTTGATTGATTCCAAATAGCATCGTGTACTTTGCATATAGCAAATCATATTTAATATTTTATTATTTTCTTTGACATTTTATGGCCCCTCTGAACATGGAATCCTTGCTTCACCCTGTCTTGAAAGGTGGTCCTTGGTTATGTATTTTGGGTAGTGCTAGGTTTTGGGTTTTACTGTGTGGGTAAGAAGAAGCATGCGATAGTGGCGATTGGCAAGGAAGAAGATAGTGAGTTGGGTTTCAGGTACTTGTAATTGGCTTCACGACTCACTTTTCATAATCTTTGAGATCAAAATATGTTAAGGATCATGTTCTCTTCATTATACTGACTTGTCACACAACAAATCACAACTCATGTAGCCTTCTTTGCCGATTTGTTGTTTCGAATTAAGAATCTTGAGTTTTAGAGCTAAAACAAAAACCAGAATACCATTGAGAACCTTTTCTACCCCACATAAAACTAAAAACTTAAATGAGTGGCGATATCATCTGTATTCTTGCTGCAAAGTCAAGACAAAACCTAAAAGTTTTAACCTAAAAAAGAACAAAGTGCAAACGGGCCTTAGAGTACAAACGACCCTAAAATAAATTAGAGCCAAGCGAGCCCATAATAAATTACAGCCCAAATTATAGCCCAACAGAGCCCAAACGAAGAAATATATGCAAGGGGGAAAATCTCTACAGCTTTACATATAATAATTACAAATAAAAAAAAAATGTGACCACCAACTCCAACCTTTGAAAAAGATCTCTTGGGTCCTATTATATCCGCAGCAGCATCCATCAAGAAGTTTTGATAGCCCTTATCCCTAATGTAAATGGCCAAAGAAAAAACTGTTACAAGTAATACAAGACGAAAAACTTGCAATAAAAAAAGAGATGATGCATATTACCTAGTTGGATCCATGATCTTCACTTCCGCAAGAAAAAATCCGAATGAAAGCAGCTGCTGCATACATAGTGACAGGACATAATGAAGATGAGAATAACAACAAACAACAAGAAATTCCAAAAAGAAACAGCATACTACCTAAGAGGGAGAATGCAGAAAGTAAGCAGCAAAGAACGACAAATAAAAGGGAGCACAACAGACAATTATATAGAAGACAAAACAGTAGGGTATTGACCTTTTAAAGACACCGCCGGTTCTATTAACCAAATCGAGAGCTTAGCCTAATAAGTAATAATAGGCTTTCTTATTATTCAGCAACTAATAAACCAGTTTCCATATACCAATTAGTCTAATAAAGAAGCTTTAATATTATTATGCAATTATAAAAACCAGTTTCCTTATACAGATTAATCTTTCTATATGCAACTAAGAAACCAGTTTCCATTCACGATTATACATACAAATAGCTATCTTACTTTTTAAAGAGTACGACCAGTAATTAGCAGCAAACTGAGGCAAGAAATAATAAACTAACTAGAGGTTTTGAAATCATAGAGGAAGCCAAGCGTTACTGTTTTGAAATCAGAACTCAATGTCTTTTTACATGTCTCGTAAAAGCTTGAGAAGAACAAATCTTCAACACTTTCATGAGTTATGGAACAGGAAGCAGTTAAAGGAATCAAGATTTAGCATTATCTCCTGTTAATAAAAACACAAAGCTGATGTGGCATTTCATGCTGACTGGCCCTAAGCTCATAACAGAAATAGCCTGGACACTAAACTACTGGACCTAAGCTCATAACAGAAATGCACATAGGGTCAATCACAAACGGTAAGGAGCAATAAGCTGACACACGGCTCTTCTATGAGATCAGTGATCCAGAATGAACTGTTATTTTTCAAATGGGAGCCATCAGTCCAAATACATCTATGCCAAGTTCGTAATTTTGCTGGTAAGCAACTCGAATGCTCATGAATGAATTGCCAACATCTTTATGGAAGAAATGTAATCCTCTTATTCTATATTTTGTAGAATCTTGAATAAAGAGATCTCTGACTTTATCAGAACTTATAAACTGGCATCTAATCATGTAATCAATTTTTACCTGGTGCCAGGTTCACAGTATGACAGCAAGAGCATCTGACAAGCAAAGTTCTGCAACCTCCACATATAAGTTGAGCCATTTCCATCCCTGCAGGGATAACATACAAGTTAAGCAGCTATATCTAACAAGCAAAATCAGCAAGAGACGAATCGCGAGAATAAAACAACCACGACCTAAGAGCAACAAGCAGCCAAGTGTTGTCGACTAAACTCAAGTCAAGTGAGTGCCTCAACTCTAATGGGAGAAAGTTGGTCAATCACAACTACCATTCTGTATGCTTCCCTATGCTTCTTTTAAGCCAAAATCAGTTTCAGCAGCCATGAAGACATAATCCAAGTTGATCAACGAACAACAGGGGGGAAGGCTTAAAAGAAACGGAAACGCATAAACAGAATGTCCCCATTTTGTTACAGCAGTCCCAAACTTGGACACTCAGTCTGAGTCTCAGAAGTAGAGGATGATTGATTGTCCTCAAACAGCAATTTTCTCTAACAGAACTATCATCAAGCACCTAGTACGCACTCAGTAAAACCAAGATGAAAACTAAACTTAAGCAAACAAAAATGCCGGATCACGGAGAACAAAGCTTCTTCTGAAGGAAAAAGCATAACGACCACAGTTTGCTATAGGCGAAAACAGAGGAAACAGAGCAACTTACAGCCTTGAGATCGTAGGTTAAGCAGAAAACGTCGTAACATTCAGCAACTTACATTTCCTCCCAACCCTTGCTTTACCTGTGAGGAAGAGCCACCAGAGTTAAACACCATAACAGTATTTCGCAATTTGACAACATAATTAGACTGACTTAAGAGTTAAGACCAAGCATCATGATTACCTTGCTGAAGACGAGCTTGTCACTGAGTGGAGATGCCTCGTCTGTCTTACTCCCGCCTTTCAAATTACTCAGTTTGCTGAAGCGATAGTGAGATCACCAGTTAGTCAAGAAACAGGAACCAGAATCGCAAGCAAGAATTATGAAATATCCCGTTTTTTTGTTCAAGTTGAGCTCACAAGGACATGCCAATGCTTAAATGTAAAATGAAAGCTGAAGATGAAAGACCAGAATACCAAAACAAGTAAACAACACTTACTGGGAGTACGCAAAATTTAACAGCGTCTTCTTCAAGAAGCCCCCAGCAGAGATCTTCTGAGTTAAGCCTTGAAAAATGAGAAAAACAAGATACTGTGAATTAAAATGACGGGAAATCGGAGAAATTCACACGACAGCAAACCCTTCATACAATCCCTTCAATCTTCCTAACTTATAGTGAAGTTTGATTCACATAAGGGGTAAATCGAATCCAAAAGCAAACCAAATTGAACACAGTTCCAAACGGGACAAAAATTATAGAAAAAGCGAATCACTAACTCGTTTGCAGCCATCGCCGGCATTGTCGAACCTCTAGATCGAGCCAGGGATTTGAAACCCCAGGTGCTTCTCCGCCAATTGGATATACTCGGATACTGGCTGACCCACTGCGCCGCTCTATCTCTCGCATCCTCTTCCCTAGCTGCAAAATTTGAAGCAAGAGTTAGGATGATAAAAGAAACCCCGTAGAAACGGAGAGATTCAAACACGACAGTCGATATCAGTCGAACAAGAAAAGTAAGGGGAGGTATAGGTTTACCGTGGCAGACCCAAGAGTGGAGGCCTTCGGTGATGGAGAGGTCGAAGCGACCCTCGAACCACGTTCCCTTGACGAAGACTGGTTCGCTCGCAGGGGTGTAATTCTCGAGCTTCATGCATGTGTGCCTCGTCCCCGCCGCCGCAGTATCCATTCTTCTCCGCCGTCACCATCTTCTTCTTCGCCGTCGAAATGGGATCTGGGCCTCCTTACTCAACCTCGTCGACATCCTCCACAGAGACATCGGCTCCTCTCATCGTCCTCTACAGCAACTCAGCAAGTCCGCCAACACCGTTGAGCTTCTCCGCCTGGCCGCATGAACTATGGACAAAGGGGCCTTCCTTGGTGTCGGTGAGACTGTGATTTTCATGGAATGGAGCTCTGATCGGCTGGGAGATGGAGATTAGCAGAGGAGTCAAGAAAGGGGCATAGTCTAATGCTCCATGCAAGAGGCAAAACAAGAAAGGGGGCTTTTCTTAGGGTTTAGATCGATCTGATTTGGGGGAGATAAGGTAACAAAATGAGAACTGCGGTTCATCCGCCTAAATCGATCAATCGAACGCTGCAGATGAGATTCAAACTGGAGAGAAGAGAAACCCTAAAAATTACAGAGGAGGATTGGGGTGGAGTCGATGAATTGGGGGAGAGACAAGGGAAAGAAGGGGTGTGTTTGTTCAGTGGTGTTTGTTCAGTGGTGGAGTCGATGAATTGGGGGAGAGACAGGGAAAGAAGGATCGAGAAGGAGAAAGGAGGATCGAGAAGGAGTCTCTCACTTATGATGAAGAAGACGAAGTGGAGTAGATAATTCATAATTGAGGACAAAACGACAAGATGTTGTAATGGCAGGAGCTGAAGTTGTAAAAAATTATACAGTTTGGGTGTTTTAAGTTTATAATTTTGATAAAGGTACTATAACATATATGATTGTTAGTTAAGGGATTGATATGAAGAGGATGTAAGATAAAATTTATATGGGACTAAACCGTGAACAACCATTAATGAAGGGATATAATTGCAATTGTTTTTATTATTAATAATTACCTTAATTATAATTAAATTAAAAATAATTAATAATTAATTAATAGGTGTGAACGCAGGAGTACACCGTACACCAGGTGTACGCTAGCCTGAACCATATATATATATATATATGTGGAGGTGTAAAACTTGTTTGCTTGAATTGGTATAGAGCGAGCGGGTGTCTTACTCTTTACCCGATGTGAATACATCTGCTGCTTCTACTGGAGAGCGGATCTAGTGACTAAGGGGGGGTGCTTAGTCACTTGACTAAGCCCTTCCCAGCCCTTAGATATGGACACTTCAATCCAATGGTTAAAAAGTGGGAAGGGCTATTTAATTAATGACAGGGGTAGTTTGGGTATTATGGAAAATTACGAAGTATACAAACCGGATTTACAATCAGTACAAACCATACAAACATACGAACAGTACAAACTAGAGCGACAAAACATACAAACATTACAAACGTATGAACTGTACAAACAATACAAACTAGACTGACAAACAATACAAACCATACAAAAAGAAAAAACACACGGGTTGACTTTGGAGGCTCCATCCCTATATAGAGGGGCTCCTTCCCAAAGTCAACCCGGGTGTTTTTTAGACATACAAACAGTACGAACATGGTGGACAAAAATGACAAACTAGACCGACAATCCATACGAACGGGAAAAAACACCCGGGTTGACTTTGGAGGCTTCATCCCTATATAGAGGGGCTCCTTCCCAAAGTCAACCCGGGTGTTTTTTAGACATACAAACAGTACGAACATGGTGGACAAAAATGACAAACTAGACCGACAATCCATACGAACGGGAAAAAACACCAGGGTTGACTTTGGAGGCTCCATCCCTATATAGAGAAGTTTCATCCAAAAGTCAACCAGGTTGTTTTTTAGACATAAAAAACATTACAAACATGGTGCACAAAAATAACAAAGTTTACAAACATTACAAACATGGTGCACAAAAATAACAAAGTTTACAAACATTACAAAATAACAAAGCGTACAAACATTACAAAATATGTCAACAAACATCACAAAATACTGTCGCCGGAAAATTCTTCTCCGTCGACGATGGTCGCTGGAAAAAAAATTTCCGACCAGAATCAATATCTCTCTCTCATAATTCCCTGGGCAAAAATCTCTCTCGCTGGGATAATTCTCTCCTTTCTCTCTCCTCTCTCTCTCTCCCTCCCTACCTCATAATTCCCTGGGCAAAAATCTCTCTCGCTAATTCCCTGGGCAAAAATTGGGGAATAATTGCCACACTCCCCGTGGGAAAAGTGGTCGGCGGAGAGAAGGATTGGCCTGGCCGGCGGGAAACTTTCTGGAAAAAATAACCAGGCCGTCGGAGAAGGAAACGGATGGGCGGGCATGGGCTGTATTTTTATTTAATTTAATTGGTAAATAAAAAATAAATAATTAAATTACTACATTACCCTTCATTAAATTGGATTAATCAGGACCATAGGATTTTAATGAGGGGGAAGGGCTAAGATTCACTTAGTCACATGACTAAGAGACCCCCCTTAGTCACCTGATCTTAGCCCCTTCTACTGTATGTGGGTCAGTGGGTACGTGTATGAAAATGAATGCACGATTCATCAGTATAGCTATAGCACCACTGTGTTATATATATATATATATATATGTTGTGTCTTGTGTCTTTTTTCATTTCCTCACCTAGTTATAGTATGAGGAAGACTGTTCATCAACAAAGGGAAAGCTACCACCTAGTAATAGTATGGGCAGCAAACTAATCAAAATGATCTCTCTCTCCCTCTCTCTTGTTGTAAACTAGCTAGCTAGGTAGCAGGGCAATAATGGCGTGCAAGAGGGAGCTGAGTTCATGGATGGATGATACTATTTGGGAACAGAACAATTCAGCTTATGATGTATGTGCATTTATTGTGCTAGCTAGCTTTTCTATATTTTTGTTTACAACACAAAAGACTTTTGCTAGGGCTTTACCTATCTATTTCAATAAATATGCTAGCTTTTGTTTTGTCTTAATAAACTTTTTCTGTAAAAGGGAATGCATGATGATAAGCTAGCTAGCGAGGGAACCACCGGACCAGCTGACAGAGAATCTGATCAGAGTTCCAAAGCTATCTTCTTGTTTTTTTAATATTAATTATTTTACAAAAATCTTCTTAATGAGTAGATTTGAATACATAGAAATGGACATGTTGTTGGGTTTGGTTGCCGGTGGGGGTTACTTTTGGCTCTTAATTAATGTTTATTTAGTGAAAAAGGAAACAGTAGGTAGCAAGTTCCCATGAACAGCGAGCTCTGCCCCTGCGGCGAGCCAGAGCCACACACTCCCCTTAATCCTGCCCTGCTTCGATAGTGGAGTGGAGTCCTCTTTAATTAATTGTACTTTACTCTTTCCTTTTCCCTAGCTAGCTACAGCTATATATAAATATATAGGTCTAGCTATCTGCCCTTTTCTTCTTAATTAATTAGCTTCAACTGATCATTTGTTAATACGTAGTAATTAACCCGGCCACTTAGATTTGGTTTAATTAGTTGATCTCATCTGCTCTGCAGGCGGCGGATGTATATCTGGATAGATTAGATGCGTTCAATTATATGGTGGCAGTGGCACTAGTATCAGTATGTACCATGGTAAAGGAAACCGTACCGGAAGTCATACCGGCTCCGTCAGTGGCAGGGTATTTTGTGGTACTACCGTGGTTCAATCGTTGTGTACCGGCAAAATACCGTTTTTGTAATTAAATAATATTTTTTTGTTAAAAAACCGTACCGACAGATTCGGGATACCGTTTCGGAATAATACCGGAATAAAACCGGAATATACCGGATAAAAAAGCTGGAATTGGTACTTACTAATCATGTCGTGGGCCTTACATTTTGTTTTGGTTATATAATAAAATGGGTTTCTGTCTATGGACTTAGCATATGTTTTGGGCCCACAACAAGAGGAAGTAAAAGTTGGCTGACAATTAAAAGGAATGAATTATTTCCTCCACGGCTCCACCCATTCGTCTTCTTCCATTCTTCTTTCTTCTCCTCCTACCCTTCTCTGTATATCTCAAAATCCCTAGAAGTGACCCCTAACAAGATTCCGGCACTCAAGTTTCCTCATAGATCTATGATTCTCTGTCATCATCTTCTCTTTTCTACCTATAATTGCTCTCTATCTTCTTCTTCTCCTTTATCCCCAATTATTTCTCTCTATATCTACTCTCCACATCTCTTCCCCATCTTTCTCCGATGAAAGAACAGCCGCCATTTTCTGACAGCAGCGGTTACTTTGGTCGTGATTTGGTTTGTGCTCGAGAAGAGGAGGGAGGATCGCCGGGTCCTGGTCGCCGCTCGAGAAGAGGAGGATCGCGGTCCTGGTCGCCAGCAGCAGCAAACGAAAAATGAAGACTGCGGCCGATTATTTAGGGTTTTGACTTTTGAGGCTTCGACCGATTTCTCTTTTTTTTTTCTAATGCCAAAACGACGCCCGTGTCCTTCCCATCAGCTTATCCCCGGTTAGACCAAAACCGCCCGGTTTTTTGAATTGAACCGATTTTACCGGGAAAACCGGCCGGAACGACTCTTTCACTACAAACCAGCTACCGTATCGGCCAGGCGCCGGTTTCCGGTTTTACCGGTTCAACCGGCCGGTACGATCCGGTTTCCTTTACCATGGTATGTACACAGCTGGGTGGGAGACCCAGATATCCTGGTCAGCCCAGGGAAACCCTAGCTACCATTATCCTAGGGTTACTGCAGCTCTTAGGTCCATCACGCAATGCAAGTTTGTGATTGTGACCGCAAGGCTGGCTTACCCGCTCTTCTTTAATTTCTCTTGGGTTGAGGTTAAAGCCAAACCATACCGCACCAGTTGTTAATAGTTTTAAGCTGCATGTACATGTACATAAAAGTGAACCATGGTTAAACGGCCTATCACTAACTATTCTCGTACAAACTCCGGTACGGTCATTTCAATATTTCCATGGTAAGAAAGAAGGGGCCGGGCAACACGCTCACACGGAGAGCGCAGTGCAACGTGGAGTTGTATATATGTTGCATCCACGGGCTTTACAAATTTTGGTTAAAGCTAGTGTTCGATCTTCTCACATACATTTGTAATTATATATGCAAGTAAGTAACAATAAAATACCTTTTCTTATTCTTTCTTACAAAATATATGACAACATATATACTTACTGTGAATCGAATATATAGGTGCTGACACTCCGAAGTCATCCAATGAATTTTGTATGAAAATGCTACCGTACGTGTTCGTCGGACAGTTGCAAAGCATCCGCTCAGATCCGAGGCTGTTTGAGCATCTTCTCAAAGAAGTGCGTGTGATGTGAGCACATGCAATAACAAAATTGGGAGCGCCTGTCCACCAACATGAGCTCTTTCCCTTCAGATTGAAGCAAGATTCTGGATCGAAGCTGGTTTCAGTACATTTATTAATCTATCTATAGCCAGAATTGCTAGCTAGAAACTACTTTATTATTATTAATATTTACAAATCCAACCAATTGTGTAATAAAGTTGGTCGTTTGAGAATGCTAGCTAGAAGGTAAATGGGTAATGGTGTCTGGAGAGTGCTTCTTCCCAGACTGGACTGCCAAGCTGCAGCTTCCTAATCCTTCAAGTCAGTGAATGACAAGTGCCATTGCCCATAATATTTTTCTGAACAAAAACTGCCACTGCCCACTACACTACATTACCCACTGCTTGCTGCTGTTGCCTGTTTGCTTCTGCAAGATTAATTTGTTTTTTCTCCTTTCCCCAAAAACGAATCTTATTGAAAGAGAGACATGGATGGGAGATGGCCAACAAAGCAACCCAAATATTATGAGGTTACTATTTGCCGCACGGGCAATTACTATTTGCCGC